CCCCAAGGAGAATTCCAGTACCATAGCACCATCTAATGTTTTGAGTAGGAGTGAATCTAGTACACCTAGAAGGGGGCAGTATTTTCCTTGTTCATATGTAGCAAGGAACTTCTCCCTGTAAATGTTTCATTGTCGTTATGCATCACAATTATATATTATTACAGATCTTACTTGGACATTATATTTATTTTGGACTAGAATTAAGATACATACTGTAGGTCAGTGCTCTCAACCTTAGCAACTTTAATAAGAGTGGATTTCAGCTCCCAGAATTCTTCAGCCAGCCATGGGAGTTGAAATCCACTCAACTTAAACTTACTAAGGTTGAGAAACACCACTTACAACTAAAGACTGTAGCCAGCTAATATGGACACCTCTCGGTTTCAGAACTGGCCATAGGTTAATTGATTGTGCATCTCTGTCAGAATGGATATTCTGCAACAATACTTGAAAACTAGAAGTAGATTTGCTCTATGATCTGTCCTTGTTATTAAACAATTCACTCTGTTGGATTCTATAGCGAGCTTTTTTGCTTCTTTGTTAAGGGTCAGTAATGTTAGCCAATTAGACAGGCAGCCATTGACCAATAATATAAATTGTAGCCAAGGTGTTTGGGTTCTAAATGGCAGTCAACCTAACTTTCCAGAAAATGTTAATTCATTTTTGTAGAGCAGCTTATATTTTAGAAGGTGGATGCTTTTGTTCTACAGCATACTGCTGAGAAAAAGGCATTGGGAATGGGGGAGGGAAAAATCAATTCCTCGTATTCTTTCTCTCATTACAGAGAACTAGGGCTGGGGTTGCATAGACACATATGGTTTTTTATCTCTTTCTGTATCCTTCAGGCCTACCGAGCTGCAATGCAAACCCAGTGGAGCTGGATTTTACAGCTCTGCCAATGTGTTGAACAGCATTTAAGAGAAAACACTGCATATTTTGAGGTATGAATTAAATTGAAGATGCTGTGGCATGATTGCAGATTTCAGCTGTAGCTATACCATCAAGAAGGAAATTCTAATGTGGTTCTCAGCTAAGCAACGTAGAGGAATGTTTTTATGATAAAGATACAGTTTTTACCCATTTAATTCAGATGTTTCAAAGACACTATTTTTATGTTATTCCAGTAGTGATTCTATTGGTCCAGTATGTTGTACATAAATCTTGTGGAAAAAAGTCAGTAACCATTACTGTTTTAATCTCTTTGTTTGCTGTCCTAAAGACATTTAAAGCTTGATTCTTTCCCAACCTCTTGTTTTCACAATTCAGGTATTTCTCTGGTTTTATAATTTTATTTCAAACTGAAAGTAGGAGTGACGAGACTTGCAAAACTTCTCTCTCTCCCTCTCTCCCCCTTCTCTCTGTATAATAAACATATTTTCAATAGTGCCTTATTAATTGAAAACTTCGTTTCATTCTAGTTTTTCAGTGATGCCAAAGAGGCTCTAGATTACTTGAAGAATTTACGAGATGCTGTACATCGAAAATACAATTGCGATAGATCCAGCAGCATTCATAAACTAGAAGATCTGATCCAGGAGTCTATGGTAGGAATGTCAATATGTTAGCTGATTTTACTCTTCAAGCATGTTTAATACTTTCTAAGTTATTGCGCTTTTTGCCAGGGTGTCTCTTGTGCCTCATTTGAATTACATCTTGGAAAAGAAACCAAACGGGGGGAAAAAACCAAGAAAACTTTAAAACACTTCCAAGAAAAGAATGCTTAATGTTTAACATTTGCTCTTTAAATTGGCATCTAGGAAGAAAAAGAACAGCTCCTACAGTACAAGAGCACCGTGGCAGGCCTTGTGGGCAGAGCAAAGACAATAGTTCAGCTAAAGCCGAGGAATCCTGAAAATTCCCTCAAAACGTCCATCCCAGTTAAGGCCATCTGTGACTATCGACAGATTGAGGTTGGAAGCTTTTACCATCTTCGAATCAGTTATGGGGAGAAGAAGATCCTGGGCTGGGTATTGATAACAAACTCCTGGAAGTCTCCTCCATACCCCACAGAGCTTATTGCCACAGTTGGGGGCTGAATCAGTTTTACTTTGTTCTTTTTGTTGCATCAGTTGTTGACAGAGGTGCTTTGAGAAAGGCTCATTCAGTTCTTCTGTTTTTCTGTTCACAACTAGATAACTATTTACAAGGATGATGAATGTGTCCTGGCAAGCAACTCTCATCGAGCAAAATGGAAAGTGATCAGCCCAAGTGGCAATGAGGCCATGGTTCCCTCTGTTTGTTTTACCATCCCACCTCCCAACAAAGAAGCCATAGACACTGCAAATAGGTAGGAATTTGGCAGAATGTACACACACCGAACCCATATTAATGTCACTTGCTTTTTGAAATCATTCTGAAAAATTCATGCATTCTAGGGAATTTATTACCAGTATATTCTTAAGACTCTCTTGTGATATTGCTTACTTAACCCCCTTATGTTTTATGCATTTCAGAATTGAGCAGCAATATCAGAATGTCCTAGCTCTGTGGCATGAGTCACATATAAATCTGAAGAGTGTTGTTTCTTGGCACTATTTAACAACTGAAATTGAAACTGTTCGAGCAAGTAATGTGGCCTCAGTAAGTTTTTCATGTATTCCAACTCTCACTTCGACACCTAGTTAGTTCCCCACTCCCCACCCCAGCATTCAGTATTTCAGCAATATGGCCTTAAAATGAAGAATTTACATTTTACCACTTACAATGATAGGTAAAGTTTGAGAAGAGCATCATATTTTATATAGCAGACACGATGCTAAAGATGTACCAATATTATATTGGAATTTTCTATAAAACTGCTAAAACAATTCTGACCTGGGACAATATCCAGTAGATGGATGTTTGTCTTTATATACACTGTATGTATATATACTGTAGGCATTGTATTCCTGAGAGGCACCTCCCTGTAGGAGATGACCAGGCTGAGCCCAAGGGAGGGGTCAAGCACATCATCAGTCTTGAGTCTGTTCGCACCCACAAGAGAACTAAGTCCAGCCCACCTTGACTTTCATTGACTCTTCTCTACAATTTGCTTTGGCTGTTAGTAGTTTGGATTCTTGTAGAGAGCTTAAGCTTGCAATAAATCTTTATACCCATTTGAACTGCCTAGATCTTCTGATTTCCCTGGGGCTTGATATTTCCTGGGCTTGAAAACTGTGGGTTAAGGGCTTTACGAATAAGGGCTTTAAGAGCAGTCTGTGCTTTATGTTTATATCATGGAAAGGGAAGGAATGTTGCTGATGGTTGGAAAGATTTTAAATTTTACTCCAATTTTAAAACATTTTCTAGATCAAAACGCTCTTGCCAGGTGAACATCAGCAGGTTTTAAGCAACTTGCAGTCTCGCTTTGATGACTTCTTGGAAGACAGCCAGGAATCCAAAATTTTCTCTGTTGCTGACATTGCCCAGTTGGAAAGGGAAGTAAATGTATGCAAGCAGTACTACCAAGAGCTACTTAAGTCTGCTGAGAGAGGTAAGTATATTAATCATCTCAGAAAGGAGACTGTTATAAAGTCCTTGATGTGGTGTATTGCTTTAGATGCGATATTTTCAGCTTTGTTCTTGTCAACTACACTGTTTTAATTGGATCATAGCAACACTAGTGCAAAGCTAAAGATTTTTGTTTCCAGTAACAGAAAAGACGGACTACTGTCTTCTGTACCTTTTCTTTCCAGGTTTCCTTGTCATGTGATCAATTATTCACATGAGTCAGCTAGTTGTAATAGGTTGCACATCTGATATATGTGTGCAAAAGCAGGATGTTGCTCCTAAGATCCATTTTTGGATTATTGCTTGGATACATAAAAAAAGCTAAGAATAAGAACATTTAAGAGAAGTTACATTATTTACACATAAAGATTCATTCTTAAGCAACCTGTTTCTGTAATGTTAATATTTCTGGGAAATTTGCGATACCCGAAATTCAAGATTACTTTATTTCTGTCAAATAGAAAAGATATTTTAAAGGTGGTAGAAAAGGTTAGAAACAAGAAATACATAACACCATTCCTTCCTTTTCACACCACCTTATTATCACATCCAGTATTTCTCATTATCGCTATCCAGAACAGTTGGTTGCACATTAATTTTGGATTTCAAGGAGAGTTATATTTCTAAACTTTGAAACTTTAGTTGTAGAATATCACATGGTAGCAGATGAAAGAAATAAAATCAGTTGGCTTAATTCATCTGTGTGCATTGGTTTCAACAGAGGAGCACGAAGAATCGGTTTACAATTTATACATCTCAGAAGTTCGAAACATCAGACTTCGATTGGAGAATTGTGAAGATCGTTTGATTAGACAAATTCGAACTCCTCTGGAGAGGGATGACCTCCCTGAAAGTGTGTTCCGTATCTCTGAACAAGAGGTAACTCTTCTCAATTTGCTGATGAAAACTATCTTTTTGAATATCATAAACACGTTCAAATGACTTTTTTGCATTAAATTAATTGGATAAAGCTACATCTGTTGAGGGTGTTGTTTTTTTAAAATACGCGGAATAAGTGCAAATTGTTACAGATTGGAATCAAAGTCTTCTGGGAGAATAAATAGAATTCTTCTCTGCACCATCAAAATTCATATGAAATACAGGTAATCCTCAACTTATAACTGTTCGTGTAGTGACCAAAGTTACAATGGCACTGAAAAAAGTGACTTATGACCATTTTTAACAGTTGTGACCTTTCCAGCGTCTCCATGATCATGTGATCAAAATTAAGATACTTGGCTACTGCTTGATACTTATGACCGTTACTGTGTCCCGAGGTCATCTGATCACCTTTTGCGACCTCCTGACAAGCAAAGTCAATGTGGGAAGCCAAATTCACTTAACAACTGGGTTACTAATTTATCAACTGCAGTGATTCGCTTAACTACTGAGGCAAGGAAGGTCGTAAAATGTGGCAAAACTCACATAACAAATGTCTCACTTAACAACAGAAATTTTGGGCTCAATTGTGGTCGTAAGTCAAGGACTACCTGTATTCCAGGGAACTATTTAGTGGTCCTGTTAGATCTCTCCCTTCCTAATCAGGTGCAGCTCCAATCCAGATTGTTATTATTTCCTTCCATCCTTATCATTACTCTTAAGTAAAGAAACGAAACTGGGCCTCCTTCAGAGGTGGGTATTCAGCAGGTTTTGACCAGTTCTGGAGAACCAGTAGCGGAAATTTTGAGTTGTTTGGAGAACTGGTGGTAACCTTGCCCTAGGAGTGGGAAGGGAATGGAGATTTTACAGTATCCTTCCCCTAACACACATACCAAGCCACACCCACCAAGCCATGCCATGCCCACAGAACCGGTAGTAAAAAAAATTGAATCCCACCACTGGCCTCCTTGCTTTGTGAATTCTCTGAAAGTTTCATTTGACCCCATTTGACTTCATCAGATGAAGATCATTCAGACAAACACAAATTATGGTGCAAAAACTGAGGCAACTCTGTAAGGTTTGGCTTATAATGTGTGAACATAATTGGTTTTATCATTCTGCAGCTTGCAATTTAGCATAGTGGGCAAACTTAGATAATGACGATTTGATCAATATGAAACATGTTTAGTGAGGACATACTTTCCATGTGACATTTCTTGAAATACAACTGAAATAAAACTAAAAACAGTTCTCTATCTTCTTTTTTGTATGGATTTGGAAATGTTATAGTTGTCGCCTAATGTTTCATGCCAAATTGTTCACAAAACCCCCTTTTTGGGGGGAGGGGGAACCCCAAGGGCCTAAACTGGGTGTGTCCAACTTGTGGTCCACAGGCTGCATGTGGCCCAGGACAGCTTATAATGTGGCCCCACAAGATTGTAAATAATAATAATAAAGGAACTTTGTTATTTATGTACATTAACTCTAATGGCCGAAGATAATTCCACTTCACTCAGTGCAGCCTAAGCAAGCCAAAAGGTTAGACACCTATGGCCTAAACCATTACATTGGAAATTAATGTTGAGTTGGAGATAGGTTTCTAAATAGGGAGAAAAAAAAAGATGTAGGCTTTCAGCCACATTAGCATAAAAATGTAATATTCTGTTGTGCTTTCATTTACAAATACTTACAAAAAAGAAATATGATGGGCACCTTAACCAACCAACTCATTAGCCTTAATACAAACAAGGAAGGAATAAGCTGGCAGGGAGATAGGTGTTAATCAGTCCTCCAAGTCTAGCAATATGCTATTGTAGTGGTGGCTTATGGTTCTTAGGAACTTCAACTTATGCCCTTCCCTTAGTTTAAGAATATGATTTGTGAAAAAAAAACCTTTATTATAGATGAAATAAACCTCACCCCCCTTTTTTTTCCTGTAGAAGCTCAAGAAGGAGCTGGATCGGCTCAAAGATGATTTGGAAACAATCACAGATAAATGCAATGATTTCTTCAGCCAAGCTGCTGGTTCCCCTTCGGTCCCAACTCTGCGGTCTGAACTTAATCTTGTAATTCAGAACATGAATCAGGTGTATTCCATGTCTTCCATCTACATAGAAAAGTAAGAAAGGCCTTTTGTTGCACACACCACCATCTTTATTGTAGCAATATTTATTAGCTGTGAACATAGCTGTATGAAAATGTTAATATCGAAAGGCAGATTTCTTCTTTTGAAAGGATAGAATTAAATAATTGAATTCAGTTACCGTATTAAAACATTTTTGAAAACTTTATTGTTATTTTTTGAGGTTGTGAATAGCACACGTTTTGTTTGTTTCAGGTTAAAAACTGTCAATTTGGTGCTCAAAAACACTCAAGGGGCTGAAGCTCTAGTAAAACAGTACGAAACCAAACTTTGTGAGGAAGACCCATTAACTGCTGACAAGAGCAATATAGAGAACCTGATGGGTACCCTGAAGGTATGAACATGGGTATTAATTTGGTATCAGTATTCCTATTAAGATGAAACATGTTACAAGCTACATAATGAGTGACTTTTGAGAGAGTGAATACTTCCAAATGTGAAAGTAGAATTGGGATCATGGATAGATGGCTGATGAAATATAGTCCTTTCAAATGATTGTGGGTGTCATTCCATTGTACCCCTTTACTAGAAGCTGCATATTAACACCGACTGTTCATAAAGGACAGTCCAAATCTGCCAATTTCAAATATTGAAGCTTTTCTTCTACTCTCTGGCCTTAAAGACAAAAATAGTTGAAGTAATCTGGTAAAAAAAACTATTCCCCTTTTCTTGCCTTATATCCATAATAAAGACATTTCTCCAGGAACAATGAAGTTGTAGCCTAGACTGTTTCCTTCCTCTCATTTTTCCCTCCTGCTTGGGAACATTGAAAAATATTAGCTTCACGTGGAATAAACTGTGGAATACTTAATTGTAACTCCATGCTACATGATAAGAATACTGTAAATATTGTAACATCACATATGTTTAGTAAAGTGAGTATGTTTGTTTGACATACTACGATATATCCCCGTGATTATTTATAATGTAGTAGTCCTCTCTTACCTATTAACCCATAAATGTGTGAGTTATAGTTCTCATTGTCCTTATCTGGCATATTGATTGACCGTGTTTGAAAATAATAATTGCAATCAGATACATCTGGGGAGGGTTGGGTTTGGAGCCTGAATTTGGCATTTGGGAAGATGCCACTAGGAACAATGTTGTCTGTTTATCATCACATACTTTATTCATTAGCAATGGAGATCCGAAGTTGATGAAAAAAGAGAAGTATTCCATGCTTTAGAAGATGAACTCCAGAAAGCGAAAGCAATTAGTGATCAGATGTTTAAAACACACAAGGAGCGTGATCTTGACTTTGACTGGCACAAAGAGAAAGCAGACCAATTAACTGAGAGATGGCAAAATGTGCATTCTCAGATTGAAAACAGGTTGGTATTATCTTTTTAAAAACTGTGTTGACAAGACTAAAGTCATCAAGGGTGTATAAAATAATCTCATTGCATAATACTGTACTGTCAAGGTGTGTAATGATGAGACTGACTACATTTAGCTGCCATTAATTTGGAAGACATCACTTTGACAGTGAGAGAAATAATACTGGAAAGAATATGACAAAATAGTCAGCTCTAAATAGTGTGCAGAATGGCAGTAGATCTGTCTTATCAGTAAAAGCTGAAGTAGCCCCGTGCTTGCTCTTTTCCTCATATCACTTTCCTCCCAGGCCACTTTTCTCAACAACTGGTTTGAGTAGAAAAGTGTCAGGGAATTATGGTCTCCAGGAAAATTACCTGTTAGGGAGAGAATTCATCGTTGCCCTTTTTTTTCCTACGGTGATATTAGATCAAATTTGGGCTCAAAGCAGTCGGGCCTGCCATTTATTAGAATAATGCTGAGCTTCCGTTCATGAATGGGTAAGAAATGGGGAGTAAGGAAATTTATTTATTACAGTTTTTTTAGAGTATAAAAGTTTGTAGACATTAATTAAAAGTAATTGGTAGGCTTTTACATTTGAAATGTTGGTTTCAAAATTAATTGTATTCTAAAATAAACAATTAGACTGAATTAGTCAGTCTGGAGGCCCTGAAATGGAAATCACTGCAAGCAATAGTGGTTTTGCGGCTTTTCCCAGTAATGAATGCTTCTGCAATTTTTATGAGTGTAGTACCTATATGAAACATCTATTTTTCTGGTCAGCCATATGATCCTGGGAAAAGATGCAGCTTCTCTGATGAGTTGGAGATGGATGCTATATGAGTGTCCCTGCTCCCACTGTAGCATCAGTTTTTCTTTTGAATCTAAAGCACTGCACAGCCCCACTAAATTATTCCTATAATTTTAATTCAGTTGCATTTAGCGTAACATTTAATTATTGCCTACTATTCCTTCGTCAGTGTTTTTTATATCTTTGCCTTGAAAACAGGTATATAAAACTTGCATGTACTCTTTTGCAATACAATATGATATAATTAACAGGTTAAATAGTGTTTTCTACAATGAACCTGAATTTAAGTGAACTCGTGAAGAAATATTGACTGTTTATTTCTGGTTTCCACACTCTAGTGATAGTGGTTCAGAAATGCAGGATAATTTTAAAGTGTCTTTGATCATACTTGTTTATATCTGAAGTTATTTACTGCCTGGCATTTCAAACAAGGGACAAGCAGGCCTCGTGCCCACCCACCCCACCCCACCCCCCAAAAAACAGAATAAGGACCACTATATTGATTTTAGTCTTTATGGAAAGATGTCCTGTTCCTTAGTATATATCTCAGAGAAAAGATAATTTCTTGATAATAGCTCACTTGGAGAAGCTAAGCTTTCACTGAAATGTCAAAATTTTGTTTTACTAGTTTTGCAGTTCTTCTATATTAATCCTGAGAAAAATACTTAATGAAAGATAATTGACCAGCATCTTTTTTTTTTGCCATGAATTTGCTAGTGAACTCCTGCAAGCACAGGTTCTCAGCTTCAGCCCTGTGTTAAAAACAATCTATTACATGAAGAAAATAATATGATTTATCTTAAGGTGTTGTACAACTGGAGAATATGTGCCATGTATTATTACATCTTTATAAAAAGCAGTTACTGCATTAAAATAACCATTTGTTCATTTCTGAATGGCTCTTGTGTCAACTATAGGTTACGTGACTTGGAGACTATCAATAAATCTCTAAAGTACTACAGAGATACTTATGGTGCACTGGATAACTGGATTAAGCAAGTTGAAGAAACACAGCAAAAATTTCAGGAAAACCCACCCAAGAACAGTAAAGCTCTGGCACAACAGCTAAATGAGCAGAAGGTACAATCATGAAAAGTTCTATAATATCTCTTAAATCAACTGAATTAATAATTCAGCTTCATTGATTGATTGTGCACCTTTGAATTATTCTTTTTACTCCTAGCAACCCCATAGATTTGTTCCTAACCTGGTCTTTTAGGTCTTCCCATAGTGAATTCATTGTTATCCTCACTGTAACTGAATGCCTCCTCTTCTCTTCTCTTTCCATCTTTCCCAGCCTTAGAGCTTTTCCAGATTGCTAGGTCTCCTGCATAATTTGATTCTGGTCATTTGTGCCTCAAGTAAGAACTCTGGGTTGGTTTGATTGAAGATCTCCTGTTTTGTTTTCTTGGCTGTCCATGGCAGTTTTAGGAGTCTTCTCCAAAACCAAAGAGCAAAGGCCTCAATACTCTTCTTATCCTGCATTTTCAAAGTCCAGTTAAGCTAAATAGCAATGTTCATTTCAACCATTTAAAACAGTCTCATTTTAAATGCTGTATTGTACTGTCAGCATATAATTTGAGATAGTTGGAAAGCATATGTAATTCTTAACAGATGAAAGAAATAGATTCAGTAGATCTAAGCAACATAGTGCTTTTCTCTATTGGTTTACTTAAATTCTTTAGGAAGATGAGGTTAGAAAATGTATGCCTTAAAGTATTTTTTGTAAAGCATTGTTGTATATTGAGTGCCACTACTGATTTTACAGATGCTGGTGTCTGAAATAGAGATGAAACAAAACAAGCTAGATGAATGCCAGAAATACTCAGAGCAGTATTCAACTGCAGTGAAGGTAAACCTGAAATTTATTTTATTTATTTATTTGATTTGTCAATCACTTACAAGATAACAGGTATAAGTATAAACTTAGTTATGAATACATGAGATGGATATGTATAATAAAAATAAACAATAGGACAGGGATGGTAGGTACGTCCCCTGCAGGCCTCTTAGGAAAGGGGTGAGGTCAATAGTAGACAGTCTAAGGTTAAAGTTTTTGGGGCTTGGGGAAGAAACCACAGTCAGGTAGAGTGTTCCAAACATTGACCACTCTGTTGTTGAAGTCGTATTTTCTGCAATCAAGTTTGGTGCAGTTAACCTTGAGTTTGTATCTATTGTGTGCTCTTGTATTGTTATGGTTTAAGCTGAAGTATTCATTTACAGGTAGGACATTGCAATGTATGATTTTATATACTATACTTAGATCAGACCGAGGACGGCGTAGTTCTAGGTTTTCTAGGTCTAGAGTTTCAAGTCTGGTGGCATAAGGTATTCTGCAACGAGTAGAGGAGCGGAGAACTCTGCTTGTGAAATATTTCTGGACTTTCTCAACTGTGTTAATATCAGATACATGATATGGGTTTCAGACTGATGAGCTGTATTCGAGTCTAGCAAATGTTTTGTATGCTCTAGTTATTAGTGTGATATTACCAGAATAAAAGCTACATAGGATTAGGTTAACAACTCTTAATGCCTTTTTGGCTATGTAGTTACATAGCACTTCGATCATTAGAGATGAGTACTCCAAGGTCCTTGACAGAGTTTGGATCCTCAACAAGGTCTTGACTATTCAGCTTGTATTTTATTTTGTATTTTTTTTTTGCCAATATGTAAGACAGAGCATTTATTTGTTGAGATTTGAAGTTGCCATTTGATTGACCATTCTGAAACATAGTCGAGGTCTTTTTGGAGGGTAGCAGCATTATCTGTGGTGTTGAATAGCTCTACATCATCAGCGAAGAGAACGCAGTTGCTCTTAATATGATCACAGAGGTCATTTATGTAGAGTATGAAGAGAGTTGGTCCTAGAACACTGCCTTGGGGTGTATTTGTATGTGTTTACTTACCAAAGTGAAAATAATTGTGTGTACAGGTAGTTCTTGACTTGCAACCATTTGTTTAACAACTGTTTGAAATTATGTCACTGAAAAAAGTGACTTACAACTATCACAACATCCCCAAAAATCACTTGATCAAAATTCGGGCGCTTAGCATATAGCATGTATTTATTGCTGCATCCTGGGGTTATATGATTGCCATTGGCAACTTTCCCAGCCAGTTTCCGGCAAGCAAAAATCAGTGGGAGAAGCCAGATACACTTAACACCGTGTGATTTACTGAATAACTGCAGTGGTTTTCTTAACAAAAGTGGCAAAAGTTGTAAAACCAGACGCAACTCACTTTTAACAACTATATCTTACTTAGCAAAGGAAATTCTAGTCCCAATTGTAGCATAAGTCAGGAACTACATGCATTAAACTGTCTCAGTTGTCTTTTTGCCATAGTTGTTGCCTGGAAATTTGAGGCTACTTTCTCCTGTTATTACTGGTATCCCCACTGCATATGGAACTTCATTGGTGTTGCAAGGATGACATCTTCATCCTAAGACAATGTTTTTTTTTTTATATTACCAAAGCAATATGTAATGATGTGACAGTAGCTGCTTTTCCTCAGCTCTGGTTGCTCAGCCCTTGCTACGTTCAGGTTTTACTACACTCGGCCTTTTGTTATGAACTGTGTTTATACAGTTAGAAGAATCCTTAGTATGGAACATAGGATACCCCACCCACCTCCTCTCTTTTTTTGGTAGGATTATGAGTTGCAAACAATGACATACAGAGCCATGGTTGATTCCCAGCAAAAATCACCTGTAAAACGCAGAAGGATGCAGAGTTCTTCCGACTTCATTATACAAGAGGTAAGTTGTTTGTTTAAGCAGTTACTTATGTGCTATTTATTTATTTTCGGACCTAGCCTTCACAGGGCAATTCACATTACAAAACAATAAATGACAGAGATTGGAAAAAGGAGAGCCGTCATCCAAGTTACACAAAAGTGGTACCCAGTTAATTAGAACATAAACAGAAGCCAGATGAAGGAAGTTATCATAGCAGCCGAATGTCAGGGCATGTTTTGAAGATGTTCGTCTGATGTTGTCTCTCAATGTGGTCTTTGACATATAGGGAAGATCAAGGGTTTTTTTCAACATGAGATTGCAGATAGCCACTTCCTGCTCATCATTTTGTCATTCATTAACATTTAAGCCCTAAGGAAACTTGGAGTCAGGACATCAAAATGATTAAGAACACAGTTCAGCAAGATTTACACTGCATCTTTATTTTGTTCAATTGAAGTCACTTCCCACTTCCTGTTTTCTCTACAACCATAACCTAGTGAAGTGGTCAGGCTGAGAGAGAATTATTGGTCCAAGGCCACCCAGCCAGCTTCCATGCTTATGGAAGGACTAGGATTCAGAGTCTCCTGGTTTCTAGTCTAGCATCTTTGCCACTACACCAAACTGGTTCTGAAATAAGAGATGGCTCTAATTTGCATAGTTCTTTCTTTTGCTGAATGTCATAGTTTTATTTTTGTAATAATAGTTAACTATGTTGGCCATGTTTCTGTGACATACGATTAACTCACGTTGAGGGGAAGTGTGTTGCATGAACTCCAGAAGGCCAGAGCTGGTTTGAGGTTTAGCTCAGCACCCCAGTTTCTGAAAGCTGACTTGTCCCTTCTGATATCTGCGATCTAGATACAGTTCTTAAGCACATCAGGACAGATCCATTTATCACAAGGCCAGAAAACAGTAAAACATGCAGTGGTTAACTACAGAAGGTGGATATAAATAGTCCCTCTTTCAACTTTATCCACAGTGGTAATGATATGAGTTTTGCCAATGCAGATTTTAAAAAGAAGTCTCTTCTGTGCTTTAGTAGATGACTAAATATAAATATAGAGTACCTGCAGCACAGCCTCTTTTGCAGTGTCTAGAAGAGCCTAGAAAATGAATACCAGGAACATTATTTGAGATATCCCATGTATTGGTGGTATATAGAAATGAGTTAATGCAAATTATGCCTGTTATGCCTTTGGGATCTTAAATCTCCTTTTCCACTGAACTGAATGATAATGCTGCTAAGCTGTATTGCATATCTAAAGCTAATAGTATGAGGATTTAAAGTATGTGGATTTAAGAATTAAGAAATAAATTCCATGATAGCAGTAGTGTTTAGGCTTATATAGCACCCCACAGCATTCTCTAAGCACTTTACAACATCAGCATTACTTGCATATTGCCCCCAACAATCTGGGTCCTCATTTTACTGACCTCCAAAGAATTGAAAGCTGAGTCGGCCTTCAGCCCATCAGGATCAAACTCCAGGCTACAGGCAGTTACTTTCAATACTGCATTTTAACCACCAAGTGCCACCAAGGCTAATCGTCATCATGCAATGATTCCTTATCTTTCATTTCTGAGATCATCTGTAGTATTTACTTGAGGCCACCCAAGACAGATAGGAGGCAATTCTATTCCACAGCTTTGTTACATTGGCTCCTGAAGCCTGTTTTCTTATGACTGACAGATGTAGTACATTTCTCCAGCTTTATCACAAAACACCTTCCCTTTTTTTCAAAAATCATGATGGAAGTTACATTCTTTATTTGTCATATTTTCAGCTATTCCTCTGTTTCATTTTAGTTTATGGATTTACGAACACGCTACACAGCCTTGGTAACCTTGATGACTCAGTATATAAAGTTTGCTGGCGACTCTTTGAAAAGGTTAGAGGAGGAAGAGGTAAGTCAATAGATATTATCAAAGGAACAAGTAGAATAAACTTGCAGTTACGTCTTTAAGTGAAAATGTCTATATCAGAATTTCTTTATTAGCTTTATGTTATTTATAGGCAGTAGTAGTGAAACTGGTGTAATAAATGCATATTATATGCCTTTGTATGCCATACTGGCTCTCTAATAATTCTGATTTAAAAACTTTCTAATCGGTTTTAAAGATTACTTTTCACCTGTAAGTTGCTAAAACACTTTTCTGTGGTGTTGGGTCTTCATAGAAATCTTCCAAGTACAGAGCAATCCATAAAATTAGCTCCTTTATGTAAAGTTATGTTAAAGATAAATTTTATTGCATTGTTAAGAAATTGATGATTTGTCTTTTTCGTATATTGTTCTGTCAGGTAATGAGAAACCCAAACTTTCATTAACAAGTCAGAATGTCTAGTTTGACTTAAGAGTTTGCTTAGTCACCTTCCAGAAAAACAAATACTGTTCTGTAAACAACTGATTGGCCCAATTCATCAGAGTTCTTTTATTCTGTTACACTATTTATTGTCATTGTGAAAAGAATATACAGGAATTATCCACTAAACTTTTTAGCATAATTCATATTTATTTGTCCTAGACAGTCAGTAAACTGCTATTTTAAATATCATTGGCACTTTTTAAGGATAATTTGGCATAGGAAATAATTTCATTTATAAGGTTGGAAGTTGGGGAAATAAATAGCAGCAGCCATTCTCCATTTTAAAATGTGTGGCTTGAAAGTGACCACAAAAAGAGGACATACCAGATGAAGCACATCATATTGACAATACAGCTAGCAATAAGGTCAAATTATTTAGTCTTTGGAAATGGTATTAGTCTGGGGGAGTCTGGATGAAGTCACATTGCAAGTAAAGGTTTCTTAATTCATTGCACCATATGTAATATTGAGCAAAACAGTTGTAGAAATTTTTTTTAGACAGAGTAGGGGTGGTTTTGAATCTCTTGTTGGCTGTGAGTGGAAAAAAAAGCATGAGAAATAATAAAGAGAAGCAATAAATAAAAATAATAAACATCAGTAGAATCTTTGATGGGAAAATGAAATCAAAATTAAGAGATGGGCAACTAACCTACAGAGATCATGCCAAAAAAAAAGTGCAATTATCTTTCAGAAATATAAATTTAATATAGATACAAATATAAATACTCAGATGTATGAAAAAAATGCAGTACAATTTTAGAATAAGGTTCTCCTGTTTTCATTTGGATAGGGGGAAAAATGAGAAAAATTTACTACATGGGTTTAAATGACGATTCTTATACTAGGAGGATATGCTTATTCCCTAATTAAGTCAGCTTTCTGGGCCATCAAGTTTATGAGAGTATTTTCAAATTGAAACTAGAATTGTCCTATGCACTAAAACATTTCTTTTCGTATTCAACTAACCCTAACATGCCGAAATGCCTTTTTTCCCCCTTGCATGATGTGTATTGCTGAGAAGTTATTCTACTTTAGCTTTCAAGCAGACACATGCAAGTCTGCTTTGGGGCGGAAACTTCCAATCCTTGAACAGCTCTTGTCCTGAATGAGCAGAGAATTCTTCTTGAGGACATCAGTTGGTGGACTCCTCACTGCAGCTTTTTCTTTCCTCTTGTGGTGTCTTTCTGAGTGGGACAGTGGTGGTGGTGGGCAGCAATCTATGTTGCTGAAATATGCTGTAGGTAATAGTGTGTAAGTATTTGCAACCATGCTTTAACAATTTCAACACATTTCAGTACTATATTAAAACAAACGGTAATTCTTCTTTCTTCTTTTACTTTTAAGACCTTGAAAAACAAGGAGGCCCTTGTACGTGGGGAATTTTCTAACCTGGAAGAACAGCAGAAGGCAGTGTTGAATGAGAACAAGAAACTTATGGCAAGAATAAGTGAACTTGAGAAGGCTCTGGAGAAGATAAGGAAACAGAAGCTGCAGCTGGAGGAAGAACTTCCAAAAGCCAAAGAAGATGCAGAAAGGGAATTAAAGAAGCAGCAGAAGAAAATGGAAGAGATTTGTCTTCAGAAAGCTAAGGCAGAGCAAGAAGCGAAGCGAATTTCCATGGAGTTAGAGGATGCCCTTAAAGAGAAAGAAGCTGCAGAACAGGAGTTAGAACGTGTGAAACAGCTCACTTTGAAAGCTGAGGTTCAAAGAAATGCAGTTGAAGAAAACCTTAGGGCTTTTAGAATTCAACTAGAGGAAAGCAACATGATTCGAAAAACCTTTGAAGAACATTTAAGAAGGAAAGACACAAGTCTTCAGGATCTGGAGCAGCAAAAAAAGGCTTTAATGGAAGAGCTGAAGAAAAAAACAGCTGAAGAAGAGAAGCTGCTGAAACTAATTAAGGAAATGGAACGAGATCTTGAGCTGCAAGGTAGTTCAGTGAAAAACAAGTTCAGAGAAAAAGAAATAACTGACATCAGAAGGCAAATTACTATAATAGGAAAAGAAACTTGCTCAGACATTTTCAGAGAAAAGCAAGACATAAAGAACATAGAGGAATTCCAACAAATAGTAGATGAACTAACTATGGCCAACAAGAAGTCTGAAAAAATAATTAAGGATTTAAAATATGAACTTCATGAACTTGAGCTACAGAATGCATCATCTGAAGAAAAAGCTTGCTTATTAAAGGAAAAACTAGATGAAGCCAATCATTCTCTCAGATGCCTTAAAATAGAGTTGGACCAGAAAGAACTGGTTGAGCATGGTTACTTGGAACAACTAAAAGAACTTGACAAGCAGCTGCAGAAAGCCGGGGGTAAAGCTGAAGAAATCATGCAAGAATCCATGGAACTTAAAAGAATCAATATGAATTATCAAGAAGACTTGAGGTCACTTCAGAAGGAAAAGGCACAGTTAAAGAGGGAGCTGGAGGAATTGACAAGGACACACACAGAAATTGAAATTATTGCTCAGCAGTTGCGTTCACAGATTGCCTCTCTTCAACAAGAGAAAATGATAGCTGAACAGAGAACTATATCATGTAAAGGGGAAGCAAGCAATCTGCAGGAGCAATTTAGAAAACTGCAGGAGCAATTGCTTCAAAAAACAAGAGAAGAAAAAGAGAGCCAGCTGACTATTCAAAGACTGAAAGATGACTTAGCTGACAGTAATCACTTGGTAGAAAAATTAAAGCAAAAGGTGGAGGAGCTTAGTAGGTGGAATAGTGAAACCAAACTTATGATGACTGAAGTGCACACTGAATCAGAGAGGATAGTTCTGGAGAGACAGATTATTGACAGGAAAAATGATGAATTAAAAGCTTTGGTTGATAGCTTCAAGGAGCAGCTCCGTGTTACAAATGAAGAGCTGCACAAACAGATCATAATTGAGCAAGAGCACTTGGATAAAATCAAGAGATTAGAAGATGAGTTAATCAATGCAAAAGATGTAATTAATGAATATAAGCAGAAATGTGACAGGGATATCACTTATAACATGAATACTGAGATGGAGCTAAGAAACCTAAACACTCAGGTGAGTACATTTACTATGGAAATTAAAATGAATGAGCAGAAAATCCAGCAACAACAAGCTCATATTCAAGAACTCAACAATAGGATAAAGAAGCTGCAAGATGATTTCCACCAGAAGACTTTAGATGAGCAAACGGCACGTAAAAAGATGGCATTGCTCCAGGAAGAGTCAATTAAATATAAGCATTCTGCTGAAGAGTTTAAGAAGAAATTTGATAAACTCTTGGAATCGCATAACATTGCTGAAAATGACATTTCAGGCATAAGGATGGAATGCATCTCTTTGCAGCAAGAGAAGCACATGACTCAAGAAAACATCAGAATGTATCAGATTCAGATTGAAGATTTGCAGAACAGACTCCAAAAATGCCGTGATCAGCTACAACAAGGGAAACATGCAGAAATGGAACATTTGCAGAAGTACCGCAAACTAGAAGAGGAATTCCAAATGCAGAAACGAACAATGGAACACCTGAAGCACCAAATAGATCTGCAGAAAAGAGAGCACTGCAATCAGTTGCGTTTGTTTCAGAATGAGGTCAACAAAAAGAATGTTCAGTTGGACTTTGGATTGAAAGGACTTGACTACGGTTACTTGGGAGATGCCTCTCTGAGAGATTTTGAACAACGTAAAGTGTGTACTTCTCCTTTATTAAGGAGAAGGCAAACTGAGATAACCAGCTCAGGTTGTAAATCTGAACAGCTACTAGCTCAGAAAATGCAAATGGTTTCCACTGATTCATTGTCACGAGAAAAGCCATTCCAGCTGTCTGGAATCACTCACTCTTTGGGAAGTGGAGTAAACCAACAATCATATTCGGAGTATGTTTCCCAAACAAGTACACAATTAGAAATCAGCATTGATAACAACAAACCTGCCACAAGATTATCAGAAATAGATAATTTGAAAGATGGCAAATTCCTCAGTTCACGACATGAAGAAAATTATGAAATGGGATTAGGGAAACAACTGCATCCACTGGAGGTACACCATACAGTTTGATACTTATGGCCTTCGTTGTACTTTCTGCCTTTAAGCATTCTTTAGCACTTTTCTTTTCTTCTTCTGAAGGTTCTCCATTTATTTAAAAGGTGGTATCAGATCTGTAGAAAAAGCGTATTTATTTAGATGTACTTTCCACCTACATGTCTGGCTAACAATGTGTTTATGTTATTGTAAAGATAAATATGCAAAATTCAAATCAATATCTACATGATGAAATTTGCAACAAAAATGCCCCCTCCTAAAAAAGTTTCTCTTCAGGATTCCCTACTAATTCCACCCCAACCCTCTGCATGTTTTCCCTCTCTTCCACTTGTCACTTCTATTGTGTGGCACGTTCACCCTTCACTAAGCTTGTATTTTTGTCCTTTTAGATTTTTTAAATAGATTTTTTTGTTAATTTGTAAAAGATGACTTTCCCTTGGACACACCGATGTGCAGTTTTGGCTACAGTCTGACTATTGTGGATCATGACGCCTACTATTAGCTGGAGTAGTGATCACAGTTGCAATTTTTAAATCGTATGCACCAAAGCATATTCTTTCTTTTTCTATTGTTTTTCTGTGTTTCCATTCAGCTTTCCTGCTCTTACAGCTTCTGTGTTGTCGGCACTAACAAACTAGCCGATGCTTGTTTGCTGTTTGTATTCTGCATTCCTACCTCCCACTTACTGTAATATATGATGTTGCTCTCTAAATATAATATCCTTCACAATGTTAAAAAAAATTCCTGTTTACAGATAGTGAACAGCAAGCAGTATGGTGTACATGCTGAAGCTTCTACATATAATCAAGAAAATGGCAAGACATTTGGTAATGAAGGAAGACTTCTTGAGGGAGCATACAGAGCATCAGAAGGGTTTAGGAGTGAAGATGTTTCAAAGAGCAGTACTGCGTTAGAGGAGAAGCGAGCCAAGGAGATTCCTACTGAATATGATAAGATAAAATTTCAAGGCCTCCGAGAGGAAGTAAATGCCAGGCAGTTGATTGAAGTTAAGCTTCTAGACTTGACCACAGCTGGACAGCTCCACATGGGGAAGAAGGCCATCGCTGAGGTGCAAAAAGACCTTGAGATTTTTTTAACAAAGCCTACTGCAGTAGCTGGGCTGTACATAGAAGCTAGCAAAAACAAAGTCTCACTTGCTTCTGCAGCTAAACAAAGAGTAATTGATAAAACATCAGCTCTAGCATTGTTAGAAGCCCAGGTTGCCACAGGTTTCATCATTGATCCCATAACTGGTAAAAAATTCTCGGTGGATGAATCAGTCATCAGCGGACTGGTAGATTATGAATGGAAAACTAGGCTTCTGGAGGCAGAAAAGGCAGTTTTAGGTTATCTGTTTTCTGGGAAAAAGCTGTCTGTTTACCAAGCAGTGGAAAGTAGAATTTTAGAAAGACAAAAAGGCAAAAACATTCTTGAGGCTCAGATTGCCACTGGGGGAGTTATTGACCCTGTCAGAAGCGTCCGTATTCCTCCTGAGATTGCAGTTGAGCTAGGCTTGCTGAATAACACAATGCTGAAATATTTACACGAACCTTCCAGTAACAAAAAAAGCTTCGAGAATCCCAATAACAGGCAAGCCATGTATTATAACGACCTGCTGAAATTGTGTGTGCTTGATGTAGCTAGCAAATGCTTCCTGCTTCCGGTTGGGGAGAGGAAAATAAGCACTCCATCTGCAGAAAAGATTCATAAGGTATCTGTGGTTGACATCAACACTGGTGCGGAAATGACTTCCTATGAGGCATATAAAAAGTCCCTGATAGACAAAAGTACATATCTTGAGCTATCTAGACAGGAATTTCAGTGGAAAGAGTCCACGTGCTTTGATGCCAGTGGAAATTCTTACTTTGTTCTGACAGACCTGAAAACGGGGCTGCAGTTCAATATTGATGAGGCCTTAATTGCTGGCAAAATAGACAGACTCTCAGTCAGTAAGTACAAGGAAGGGCATCTTGCAGCTAGTGAGCTTGGTGACATTTTGTTGACCAATTCCAAGCCGCATACCGATCTCCATAGTCCCATTGCCGGGGTCTGGCTGCCTGAGACAAATGAAAGGATAGCTATTGTAAAAGCTTCTCGCAAAAACTTGGTGGACAGGAACACTGCGCTGAGGTGTCTGGAGGCTCAAATCTGCACAGGAGGAATAATTGATCCCTTGACTGGAAAGAGGTACCCACTGGCTGAAGCCTTGCAAAGGGAGTTAATTGACGAGGCATGTGCTAAACACCTTCAGCAGTGTGAATTGGTCTTCACTGGCATTAGGCACCCTTTATCAAACAGTATTCTCTCAGTCACCGAAGCAATAAATAAAAACCTTCTAGACAAAGAAGTAGGCACTCGCTGCTTGGAATATCAGCATTTGACGGGTGGGTTGATAGATCCCAAATCTCATTCTAGATTGTCAATGGAGGATGCCATCAAGAATGGCCTAATTGATGCCGTTACTGCCACAAAAACTCAAGATGATAAATTCTACATAAAAAGCCTGATGTGCCCTAAGACAAAAAAGCAATTAACCTATCAGGAAGCTCTCCAGGGAGCTATTTTTGACTGCCATACAGGACTACGCTTGCTAGAAGCTTCGGAGCTTATCACCTCAGGTATATCAAGGCTTTATTATTCTACCCAGTAACTAAGCTAACCTGGCCGTCTATTTTTTGAGACAAAATTTTCATAACAACAGATTATTCTTAAGAGTAAACAGGGAACATACTCCACAGTCACTAGCACTGATGACATTGCCTCATTGGGTAGTTGAATGTTTGCAAGTTTACAACCAAGTTCAGAGACTCTGCACCAAGGACTCCACAGTTCAACCTTGAGCTACAAATATTCTCTTCTGTTGGAACTAAGTTCCGTTCTGTGGTAAGGAACAAAACTGCCACATCGTAGAAATAATTCCCACTTATATAATTGTACAACATGGTGGAGGGGAAAAAAATCACTCAATTCCTGGCAACACATTTTGGCTTTGCTTATAGATGGTTGTTTGCATACTCTAAATCTAGTATTGCTCTATGCTTGTAACCTTAGAACACAATAAAAGCTAGATATTTCTATGTTTTACAGATTTCTGTGGAAGATTTAAATTCATGCTTAATTTTTCTCATAATGTAACTGTACTTCAGTTATGATTGGATTGTGCTTCAGTTGCTGTTTTCTATAAATAAAAATAGTAGCTTATAACAAGATGAATTATATTGATATGTTTCATTTCATTCTAATCTGGTTTTTGCCATTCCAGCTGAACTTTTTAAATTTATTTTTTTTAAATATATTCCATTGTAATCAAATCAGTGTAAGTTATTAAAAAATCATGAATTTCAGGATTTCCAGCAAACTACAGTAGAGCGCTAAGTGTGTAGAGTCTCTCATAATGACACTTAAATGCTTATTTTCATAACTACTGCCCATTTTCAGGGAATAGTAAAACATGGAATTATAAACTTGCAGAGGTTCATAGATAAATTATATGAAAAAATATATTAAAAAGGTTAGCAGATGCAAATTTCTATTAAGCTAAGTCTGTCAAAGTAAGGTAGTACAATTTTAACTATTTGATAATGAATTATATTCATTGAGGCCTATATCTTAGTTTAAACATTTAAGATTGGTCAGTCAAAAAATTTAAGGACAGTTTTATACTCCTGTTATAACAATTAAAATGATTTTTTTTTCTGTTTATTTTGGCACTTGAGTCTTTACATTTCTTCTAATTGGAAGCTTAAATTATTAGTGGAAATGGCTATACAACTGTCAAACTAGGGTTCCTTTCTGGTGGATCAATTATCGCCTGATGAATAAAAATTGTATGACATTTTGTCTATAGGAAAGGGTTTTAGGTATTTTATATTAATGAAATGTGGTAACCTCTCTAACTTCATGATATCAGGTGTGGGTTTATAATTCAAAAGCTGCAGTTTAATAACAGTTTTCCTTCCCATTGTTAGAACAATAATGATTTCTGTCCATACGCATTGAATCAGCTCTGTACAAACGAATGTGTTCAAATGTATCAAATGACTATCTTGGTTTTTTTAAAAACATCTTCAAATAACGGTAGATATTTTAAAAAAATGTTAATCTCCCCCACCGCCCCCTCCATCCATACATAATTTTACATCAGCAACTGGGATAAAAATAAGGTTTATTTAACAGAATAGTTATGTTTGGTCTGTACCTATTGTTTAATGTTCAGCAGTTTTAAATATTTCTGTATTTGTAATGCTCATTGTTCATCAGAAATCAATGGAAGAAGAAAAGAAAGAACATGTTGAAAAAACTGGGGACTTACTGAAATGGGTTACAGAAATCACCAGGAGCCTCAACAAAGGCAGTGGAGAAAGGGCTGAAAAAACAGATTTTCTTAAGAAGCAGGTATTAAAACATTGCTTCAGTGTGTATAATAAACAGCTGCCTGGACCTGTAATGTTTGATTTTTGCATGTCTGTGGTTCTACTAAGGAGTCAACTGGCTTGTGAACATTATTTCATTCCTTCATACCAACAAGCTGAAGGGTCTCAGATAAGATCCATTGTATGCCCTACATCAGTCCCAATAACATTCTCCTTTGGCTTCAAATTTTCATAAAACATATACTATTATTTAGATTTATAAATCAGTTTTCTCAAAGAATAAACTTGTAACGATTCCATAAGGTAATGAACATTTAGAGAATGTTTTCTTACTTTGTACTTACTGTTTGTCGATGTACAATTTTGGAAATGGGCCATGAAGGCGCCTGCTCAATTCCAACTGGTATCTGGCTGTGTTTAAAAAAAAAAAAAAACTATCTGGAATGAGGGGTACAGGGGTTATGACTGCTAAAATAACTTACATCTCCAGAATGTCAGGGCCAACCATGTCAGTCTAGTTGGATGATTTGTGGGGAGGGTTTTTTAAAAAAAAAAAAGATGTGAATTTTTGAATATCCATGTGGTCTTTTAACCATCCCAAGCAGGGCCGGTTGGTTATGTGAATCAGAGATTGCCACTCTTAGTAAAGAACTGTATATTTATTTATTTATTTATTTATTTGATTTGCCAATTGTTTACAAGATAATAAGTATAAGTGTATACATAGTTGTGAATACATGAAATGGGTACATATAAGAAAAATAAAAGAATAAGAGAAACAATAGGACAGGGACAGTAGGCACGATGGTGCGCTTATGCACGCCCCCTACAGACCTCTTAGGAAAGGGGTGAGGTCAATAGTAGACAGTCTAAGGTTAAAGTTTTTGGGGTTTGGGGAAGAGACTACAGAGTCGGGTAGAGTATTTGAAAGTACGGTTCATCAGTCCATGGTATTTTCATAGGGCCAACAAAATGATAGGAAGCACATATCTAACATTACTGATTTCTGTTGCATAACCTCTGAAGAGTCAACTTCATATGTAGAGTATGGTCTGTGAACCCAGCTTCTTCTGGATTATTCAGCAACATCTGGGTAAACAAATCATAGCATAGTATGTTGTGTGAACTCTGCTAAAATTCCTTCAAGTTTAATTTACACTAAATTAAAATATCCTCCTTTTGTTAAAATTTAAAATGTTTACCTAATACATAAATTGAACATATTAATTCGAAGTTTCCCTCAGAAAATATTTCTCAACCAAGAATGAAGCATCATGGATATATTTTGGTAGATATACTTAAAAAAATTTGCCTGAGTAGAAGGCTTTTAACTAGTTTCTATCCATTCAGTGAATATTACTGTAACAGGCAACTTTTATAAATTTGGATTCAAATTTTATCTTAAATCTTATCAGTTATAGTCAGAAGAAAGTAAGCTCGATATTTTTCTTTTAAGAAATCCAAAGCAATGTCACCATGGATATTCATTGTAATTAAAGAGATGATGATCTGTTTTGTGTGGCTGCTTCCCCTGCTGATTTCTCCCTTCAGAATATATTAAAATATTTTGATAGCAAGGGATATTCATTGTGCTCCATATATCAGACTCTTCAGTGCAGACCTGACAGAATTAGCCATCAGGAGAATATTTTCATATTCATACTTACATCTTAGTTTCAAAACATGGTTCAATCCTGGGAGCATTCGGAGAAACAAAAGAAAAAGGAAGTGGCTTTAAAAAAATATGGCCTGTGAGAATAGCCCTGGATTGTCACTATGCGCAATCCAAAGAGTCTGTTTTAGTGCCTTAATTAGCTCACCTGGATCATTCAGGGCAGTCACTTTCTAGAAGACAGAAAGGTGTAGCTACTTCCAGTGCTAAAAAAAAAGGATATCCCCTTGTTCTTCTGCCCCTACTTTCAGACAGACTGTCTCCCAGCTTTCTTGAAGTAAATGCTGTGATGTTCCGGGATAAGGATAGTAAGAATCTAATCTCCTGACAGAATGTCACCTACAAAGAAATACTTTCAGTAGTCATAAGGATTGTGGATGGCTGTGGGCTGTTTTAGCCTTTATTTATATGACGATATTAGGTCTTTTGGTAGAACTGTTAGGTTATATAAAAGAAAATATTTGGAACTACAAGTATTCCTTCAGTATATATTTTTATGACTGCTGTAGGAACCTAGTGGATAGTTGTCCATTCACAATAAATGAAACATTCCACTTAGTGCTCAGAACAGTTTGGCAATTACTATAATTTTAAATTAATTTGAACACTTGAAAAGCTTATGAACTGCGTAAACTTTCAATTGCATTTAGATTGCATCTCACCTAATGTTTTGCTTCTGTCAGTCACATAAGGCAAAAGCGAATTAAAGATAAGACTGGAGAATAGCAAATAAAAGCTTAGTCATCCAGATCTACAAGTTCTTCTAGCTCATGTTGATGTTCTTCCATTCATTTTCAAGCTATCAATGATACTGTATGTCCAAGGTAGGCTCATAGTAGCAATGAACTGCAAATTCAAGTAGAAAAGAATATGTGTAGCTCAGGGTTGAACCCCAAAGGGAAGGTTGTAGATTGTTCTTTAAAAAAAGTTTATTAATATGTCCGAGGTCTGAAGGTGTTTGATAATTACGTCTTTGACTTGGCTCCAGTCCATTTTAGGGAAAGATTTGTCAAAGTTAATTCAGTCTTTGTTTTTAACTAAGAAGAACTGATAATTGGTATAATTTAGAACTCGACTTAGAATCAGTCATAAATGAAATATCAGAATCCTAATTTGCCATAGTAATTTCAGCATTCCACCTCCCCCAAACAGGTAAACAAAAATCCTGCCTGGTGATACATATATTCCTCCAGCTAATGCAAAACAACAACAACAAAAACTAGAAATAAGCTTTTGAGATGCATAATTATTTTCAACTATCGGTGGAATATTGAGTGTATTCATTTTAATATCATTATAAAATTATAAAAATAATAAAACTGAAATACAAATAAATCAGCCTGTTCTCACTTGACAACAAAGGCTTACTTAAAAAAGCTACCTAAAGCAAAGCCCAGAACAGTTTAAGGGGGGGAAATTAGAGGCTAATTAGCACAAGTTTATTTAATATTAGTTTTCATACACCGTTTTTCTTTTCTATTAAACTAGCTGTGTCATTGCTCTCCTAACTAAGCATACATTGGGATATTTCAGTTCTAAGTTTTGATTAAAGTTCCTGGCCTCTGTTCCCAAGAAAAAAAGATACAAGAATGCCCATCTTAGCATATTTGTGACAGGCTTGTTTTTGTATGTGTATATGTATGCTTGTATATATATACACACACAATATGATCTGACTTATTCAAAAGCAATACATTAATTCAGGGACAAAGCAGGCATGGCAATCTATATTGTATTATTATCAAAATGTCAATATGCTTCAAATACATATCTTTTTATGCTTAATCTTAAAATATATTGCTTAAAGTACATTTTTAAGTCTATTATTAGAGCCTTGTAGCTATTTGAATGTGCTTTCTTATTTTTCAGATTTCTTCTGATGAATTATCAGCCAAGAAAGAACAGCTATCAGAGGCTTTGCAAGGAACACAGATATTTTTAGCAAAACATGGTGACAAGTATGTTACACTTATTTTGAAATTTAATGATGCTATTTCAACCTTTGTAACACCATTTAGTCGTTTGATATGTCGAATCAGGTATAATTTCTGAAACTTAAGAAAAGGGGTTTGAATTAATTTGAAAAGGAACTTTGGTCTTTCTTGTACCAAAGGTGCTTTTTTCCCAAAGACAACTGGACTTTCTTGGTTTTTCTCCCCTTGAAAACATTTCGCTTCTCATCCAAGAAGCTCCTTCAGAACCTCGATGATTGAGAATCTTCATAGACATCGTGACTTTCCTTTTGCTGGTACTTGCTTATGATTACAAGGGAACCAAGATATTGGTTCTAATGACTATGATGTAATTGTGTAACTTGTGGCTGCCTACTTTTTGGCAACCCTCCTGTTTATAAATTTCCCCTGATCCTAATTACATTACACCCACAAATTATTATCTTAATAGCAGATCTTAGATTTAATCTTCAATCTGTTCAAATCTTAGAATAATGGGAATTATAACCAGGGGTAGGCTTAAATTTTTTTAGCAATGGGTTCTCTGCCGATTGGGTGGGTGTGGCCATAGTGGGCATGATCTCCTGCACCACGATGGGGAGGGGGCATTTTTGCCCTTCCCGGCCCCCGGCCTCTTTCCTTGAGCCTCCAGGAGGGTGAAAACAGCCTCCTCAGGCTCCAGAAGCTCTCTGGAACCGGAAATGGGCCCGTTTCCAGCCTTCCTAAACTTCTGGAAGGCCCGTTTTTCACCCTTCTTGAGCCTCCACATGCACCCTGCACTTACCTGTATCCAAAATGGGCCACGTGGGGACTCCGGGGAGGGGAGGGGTGGGCGGGGCCAGCCAGGAGTGGGATTTGGGGGTTCTCCAAACAGTGCAGAATCTTAGCTAGAGGATCTCCTGAACCCCTGTGAACCCCCAGCAGCCCACCCCTGGTCATAACTCAGTGTGTGGTACATCGATCATTCTCTCAAATACAATTTTTGTTGAATCCAGCTTCAGTCATTTTCAATTTTCTTTGAAGAAGTGGGGGATTATTTTCTCCTCATCATATTGGAAGCTATGAGCTGGCTTTAATGGTAGTTTTTTTTAAGTTAGCCTTTTGCATTCTGTTGTGCATCATCTTTAACAAATGATTCTACATACATGATTCTACATGTATTATTTATCAAATAAATAATTAGAAAGTGGCAGTGCTATGGCTATTTGTAGCTGCTTGTGAAGAATAATAAAATATACCAGTTTCTCTAAACAAGTAAAATGGTTTTTAGTGAAGTGTTGCAATGGAAGTGCATGAATCTCCATCTCCAAATACCAAGCTTGCAGTCTTCCGCATGACATTCAGAAATATTACACTGGCCACAGTGCATCTCTACAGTATGTAGCATCAGAAAACTACTTTTTTTTGTAAACAATACTTCAGGCCTAGATTATTCATGGAATTTTGCAGTTCACTTGTGAAAGCACTGCACAGTAGAAAATACAGTTTGTACATTTAATGCAAAGTCTCATCCAGGAAGATAGGTTACAAATGAATAATCCAGATCAAATTGCTCAGCATTATTTTCACAGGCAGCCATATGCAGCTGTATTGTTTCTAAATTCATTTTTGAATCCTGTAATTATTTCTTCTATGAGGTTTTATTTACTGACATAAAGTGGTATTCTTACTGTAATGAAAACTCTATTCATGTAGCAGTACTAATGTTTTAACCCTAACGAGGTAGTCTTCTAAATTGCTGCTTTTACAAAGCAAAATATTTAAATAGGATTTGTTTCTGGTTGATGAATCTAGGAACCCAAGTTCAGATTGTAAATTATTTCTGGTTTTGTTCTGTTGCTTATGGAAAGAAGAATGTTTTAGTGAACTATCTTAATGTTCAGGTTGTTGGTAAGCCAACATTTATCAGAATTATGGCTTATTCTATGCTATTGCAATCTATTTTTTATTTGTTTTATAGAATGACAAATGAGGAGAAAAACGAAATGGAAAATCATATAAAGTCCTTGCAAGAGTGTTCCAAACTCTTATCCAATGAAGGTTTGATACAGTTGGAGGAGGAAAGAAATATAGAAGATGAAAACATGGATGCAAAGGTAACCTAAAACCTATATAATCATGTATTGTCTAAATCTTACTTACTGCATGGGTATAGAACTGTATATTAATACTTTTTTCAAAAAAAAAATCCTGCATTAAGTTGTATGCATCAGACAAAATGAGGACTAAATGAGAATTTTCATTATTTTTGTGTAATAAGAATTATAACTCAATGTATAGAAGGGAAAATATAGTCATGCATTTATGAATAAATCTTTAAACCTGTGTCTTGCATGAACTAAGAACAAAAAAAAATCATACATCACTTACCTTTCTTTTTAAAACCCATTTTTTACAAATTCTATGTTTCAGAATCCTGACACCGTACAAAAATTTGGTAGATTATACTTCTTACTTTGTATATTTACTTCAAAAGTTCATTAAATTTCAGCTGGTTACATACTTTTGAAAGGGCAGTCTCATTAATTGTGAGAAATACCTTAAGGCCTCTCACGATCTGTAAAAAGCATTACAGAATGTCAGTTAATACATGCAATATATATAATATATGAAAAAAATATCACATGTGTATTAAATGTTTCTAATTGATGGCTTTCAATGCAAACCAGTTGCAATGCAGTTAGGTGGTTACAGTGGTGTCGACATAAAAGTGCTGTATGCTGTAAACATGAGTAGCATGACTATTGGTATCACTATTTTCTGAATATCCTTAACTTCTCACAACCACATAGATGGCATGACAGTTTGTTTTCCAGGAACGTGTCTTTTTCACTCACTATATGATCATTGACTCTCTTGTATTCCACTAACCTTGTTGATGTGTGCAGAACGTAAACTTTTGGTTTGCTGATGCATGCCGTGTCTCAGTTTTGTATCGCACCATGTGCAGTTGAATCACTGACATAGATCATTTCTGCATTGACTTGCTAACATTCACAGTCTTGCTCCAAATCTGGTAAGTAAATGACTTTTATTGCCATCTGCAGATAAGTATTTAAATTCAGAGATTTCATGTTTTAATATTTATTGGATACTGAAAAAATGTATCTTTATATTCTTAGGTAGACAAAGTCATAGCTGGCATCATTGATCAGACTACCGAAGATACGTTTTCAGTCTTCCAGGCAATTTATAAAGGCCTTATTGACTATGACACTGGAATCCAATTACTTCAGAGGCAAATTATTTTATCTGGTTTAATTTCATCCACCTCGGGAAAGAGCTTTGATCTTGAACAAGCAAAGGTCCTTAAACTTGTTGATGAACAAGTTGCATCGGAACTGCAAGATTTGCAGAACGCTATGAAGGTTATTTCGCAACCAAGTGCAACCACAATCCCGGTTGTGACTGCTTTGGAGCAAGGAATCATTTCAGAATCTTTGGCTGTTAAAATTCTTGAGATCCAGCTTTCTGGAGGATATCTAAAAATAGCCGGCTCAGAAGAACCATTAACTTTGCACAAAGCTTTCCAAAAGAACCTGATTTCTGGAGCACTATATGCTAAGATCCTAGAAAGCCAGGATACATCTAGAGACCTTATTGATCCCAACACTGCAGAAAAATTATCATTTGAGGAATTTCTTGAAAGAACTGTCATACACAAAGAAACACGCTTAAGGTTTTTACCAGTGGCTCTTCAAGAAAGAGGCAAAATAACACTAACGTGTGGAAGGAAAGTCACTGTTACAAGGGCAGCTCATGAAGGACTCATAGAGAAGGAGACTATGTTCAGGCTATTAGATGCTCAGCTACTTTCTGGGGGCTTAATTAATCCCAATTCAGGTCACAGGATGACTGTCGAAGAAGCAATGAAGGAAGGAGTTATAGATCAAGATACTGGCTGTGCTCTTTTGACTCATCAAGTTCAGACAGGTGGAATCCTATCACCAAACTCCCCGAAACGTTTGACTGTAGATGAAGCTGTGCAGTGCAACCTGATCTCTTCTACTTGTGCCTTGCTGGTGTTAGAGGCACAGCAAGGTTTTGTAGGACTCATTTGGCCACACAGTGGCGAAATATTCCCTGTATCTATATCTTTGCATCAAGGCATGATCTCTAATGAACTGGCCAGCAAAATTCTAGATGGGAGGCAAAAAATAGCAGCACTATATATTCCAGAAACCTCTGAAGTCATCAGCCTAAATAATGCAGCCCAGCAAGGAATTATAGATAGTAACATTTTATCCATTTTGAGTAACATTACCCTTCCTGATGAATTGCCAAATGGGGATAATGTGCCATTCCCGTTGAAAGGGGCTTCAAGATGTTTCTCATTTTGTGAACTCCATGCATCTACACAGAGTGAACAAAGAAAGGACATTGAACATCTGAACACCACAAGTCACCACTCGCAACAGAATCAAAAGCTATTCATGTCTTACCTAATGATAAATAGTTATATGGATGCAAATACAGGCCAGAGGCTTTTGTTGCATTGTGGTGACTTAAATGAGGCTGCCAGTTTGTTAATGGATGTCAAGAACTCTGAATGCATTACAGTTGGAACCGAAGAACAATCTTGTGAATCTTCTGAAAACAGGGAGGGTCCATATCTTGAGCAACTGCCTAAAAATGTAATACTTAACTCTGTTACTGGCAGTGCTTTAGGTCAAGAGACAAGTATCCAAAGTATGTTTAGTAACAATAACAGGGGGGGATTTCAAGACGCTCACCAGAATTTAGTTAACCAATCATGTGGTAAAGCTGATGAGGCAAAAGAGTCCCTGGATAAACATTTGCAAGGACATCTTATTTTAAGCAGAAATGAAGTTGGCAAATGCATGATAGACAGGGAAAAAGAGAGTGGCAAGGAAAATCTTTTCGGTAAATTAGATCATGTTTTGGATAGAAATAATCCTTCAGCATTTGCTAATGGAAGAAAACTACCAAACAACACTGAGGAATGTCCACCTCACATTCTGCAGAATAATGAAGAAATTATATTAATAAAAGATGAAGAAAATGTTAATTTGCAGAATAGTTTACTTACCACTGTGAAAACTGGACATATATCTTTAAAAGATCCTACTCAGGAAGAATTAGGGGCTTGTAATGAAAAAGGGATATTACAGTCTGATGCTAACATCATTGCTGTATCCCATAATAATAATTACAGCGTATCTCCTTTGGAACCTAGAGGGCCTACTCCTGATAACCTATTATTAGATAGTTGTATGAATAGCCATTGGACATCTCTGATAGAAAATACTTTTTCTAAGGATGATCCACCTCTGAAAGACAACATCACCTTGCTAAATCAGGAACAGATTAAAACTGAAAGAAATGAATCTCTGGCGAGCAATATTAATGTCAGTGACAAACCTATAAATGAGAGTAACATAGATAGTAGAACTTTGCATGATTGTTGTGCTAAGTCTTACAGAGTTCCACCATCTGAATGTGACATTACATCCATTGAGCCCTTTCAGATGGATCATATTATCACTCACATTGGCCTTCCAGTGGAAGGCAATATTGGTACAACATTGGCAGAAAACAGTCCTGGATTTCTGGATGGTTCACCTGTCAGTATAGATAGCCATCTTAGATTACTTAATGAGCCATCTGGGAATGTTAATAGCTCACTTCTAGAAGGCAGCAATAGTAAGCCTTGTGAAACACAGGATAAAAGAAAATGTATCACTCCACGTTCGGAAAGTAGTAACGAATACAGAGATAGTCAAGGCCTTTGTGATATAGCTCAGCATAAAGATGGCAGCATACATAATGATCGTAGTGATGATATTGTTGATAATATGGCTGAAGTTGATATGGGTAGATCCTCTGCAGATAAGGGAATTATTATTCCAGAAGAAAGTGATGATGTACAGTGTATTAAAATTGCTATAGATAAACCAACAGAAGATGCATCAAAATATCTTCTGTATGAGAAAGAGGAGATTTTTCTGTGCTTTGGTCAATTGGATAATGATGATACACCTGAAACCATGAGTAAGGAACCATTTAGTGGAGGCACTGTTCAAGAAGAGAAGGGAGAAGGGGCTGGAAATGTAGACAAAGAATGGAGGGAAAAAGAAAGAGATGAGGTTTTTACCTCCTTGAGAAAATTGGATGGAGCTGAAATAAAACGAGATAGGCAAAAGCAAAGTAGTACCGAAGAAGAAAATTATTCTGATAATACTGAAGAAGAAAGCATTTCTGTAGATAATTACTTGGGCAATAAGGATAAGGAAAGTGAAGATGACTTTGATAGTTACGATTATGTAGACTTTGATTATTATACATCTGATGAGACCGATTATGAGAATGAGGAAGTGATGGAAATGCATTACTCACAGTGCCAGAGTATAAGCACTGGCAGCCAGTGTTTAGGGGACAAGAGAGAGCAGTTTCTAAAAACAGCAGAAGACAACTTTACTCATCATGACTACAACTTGCAAGTAGAGTTGAAAAATGGCTTACCGTGTTTTAAAAGAAACAATGTCGATGACTGTCAAAATATAACCAGTGATAAAAGTAAAGCTAAAAGCCAGAAAGATGCTGAAAAGGTTTCAGAACCTTTCTTAGAAAGAAAGTTTGAAGCACACTGCTGTCAAATTATGGCTTCCGAGAATGCCACTGTTCTTCAAAACACCTTGCTCTCTGAGCACAACGAGGCTATCAGGCATGATGTAAAAGAAATGTCATTTCTGAGTTGTAAGAAAAGTCACGGAGTAAATGATACCATGGGTGATGGGAAACATCTTCTGTGGGAAGATAGTATCCAGGAATCAGATGGAAGCTTGACAAAGAATTGTTCATTGGGTATTAAAAACTCTTGTGAAACTATTCCCTCATGTCAGGAGAAAGCTAGTCTTGATCAGTTTTCAAATGAAGCTAGATCCTTTAGTGGCTTGGCTACAGATGTAACTATTGACCATGATAATACAGTAGTTGACCTTTCTACTTACTTAAAGCAGTGTGCACAAAATATCAAATCCAAGGATATCTTAGCACTGACACAGGGAGTTTCATCCAACATCCTGGAAATTGAAAGAGGCAATAAAGAGAATGGAATGGAAGCTGAAAAAATCCA